CTTTATTTCCTAGATTAGCTTCCCTTCCTGAACTACTGTATGTCATGCCAGAGACAATGATTTTATATGACATATTTAGGAAAGAGAGACCCACCTATTTTACATAAAACAACGTCTGAGAAATGTACCCTCATTGCCGAGGTGCCAGTCTGCGCTGACACGTTCCTGTGAGAGGCAGAGCCTGCTGGGAGAGCAGGGAGCACAGAGCTAAATGTCTCCTTTCAAACTGTTAACTGAATGGTTAGTTTTATTCCAAACCTTTATAAAAACTAATGAAATTACCCTTCACCTATCTTTAAGGATTAGCATTAATGCTCAGAACAAACTGCATGACTACTAATCTCTTAATGTCCCTAAAGATATGTACAAAATGAAATTTATAAATAATAAATGAAACCCAACTTTTCCCAGAAATCCTAAGTCATCCTGCTCTTTCCCTCTCCCTCTCCCCCTGAGAGTTGTTGCTCTTGTGTAAGATTAGGCTGATGTAGGAAGTTGGAGAAAGGTGCCTTTGAGCATGGAAGTCAATGAGCTCCATGCTTTGGGCCTCCACCATTTTCTTCCTCTAAAAATACTGCCTTTTCTTTGTGCAGCAGAATGTTTAGATCTAAATATCTTCAGCCTCTCCCTCCTTTCATTCCTTCATGCTCCAAATACCTGTACCACATGGGTGAGCACTGAGAGCAGGGATCCCCAAAGACACAGAGTATTTCATGCTCAGGTTGTTACATCCTGTAGCTGCCAGAAAAGGAACACAACCACACATGCCATTCCCTCACAGCCCAATTTTCCTCCAAACAACAACCAAACAAAAAACAAGACTTAAATTCTCAGAGTTGATGAGAAAAAATTGTCAGAATTTGTGAGAAGTCGTTGCATGCACTACACAAAAAAGAGTTACCCGAGTGAGAAACCCAACTGTTGTTCTCTTAGTTGGAATGCAAACCCAGTATTTTCCTAAATGATGGCACTGGAGGGATTAGTCACTCTGATTTTCCAGAGCCTTCAGTCCACCCACTGCACTTTCACCCCTGCTTATAGAGACTCACACTTGCATACTTCAAGATTTTCATATCTACTTCTAAAGCCTTGTTTTTTAGGCTGTAGAAAATTATGGATTTCAAATTTAATAGTTAAAGATTTCCCAGGAAAGCTGGTCTCTGACCTCCATCTCTGGGGTGTTTGTTTGCTCAACAAGAACATCTGAAGTGTATTTATCACGTTTGCACATATTTTAGAGTATAGCAGGCATATAAAATATATAAGTAACTATTCCTGAAAAATTGTGACAGCATGATTTTGATACACTTTTGACTGAAACTTGCTCACATTTTCATGTCCCTGTCATTGCATGCCTGACACAGTTTGCCCAAGGGGTCTTTCCAGGTCATTTTCTGATCTACATATTCTCAATTTCTGAGAATCTTCACTGAAGGAAATGTTTCAGGCCAGAGATTTTGTCCTCTTCAAGGGCTGACTCGCGGAAGACAAAGATTCAAGCCCAAAGAGATCCTCGGTTATCCAAGTTGTCTGAGACTCATGCACTTACTTTTTAATCACTGATCCCTCCCAGCAAAATTTGGAACTCTGAACTGGACATTTAGGCTTCACATCCAAAGCAGAAGTAGGATTACATGCCTTGTGGAGGGAATACTCAAGTTATGGCCTCAGAAGTCTAAAACTCTCTTGAGTAGAGGTTGTAGGAATTGTTATAAGAAAATCATATTTATCCATGATAGAAAAGCTTACTTCGTGGATAACATTGTCTGCTAGTACAACGTACATATATAAAAAAGTCATGGAATGTTCTTTAAAAACACTTCCCAAGTGATCATTACCACTTGCAAGCCAAAGAGTGATTTTGTTACAATAAAGCAGATCTGTTTCTGAAAGTTATAAGACTCCCATAGGTGTGGAGTGGAGCTTTAAGGACTCAGAACCCAGAAGAGCAACAGCACTTATTTTTATGCTCATAATTTTGCAGTGGCCAAATGTACAGCTTTCTAACTTTACAGAAGTTGCATAAATTAATAATACAAAATAAAAATAGTATGATCCAAATTACCTCAAGGCTCAGATACCTTGTGCCTAATTTCAGCCCAATTTTCATGGCTATGTTATCTGAGCCTGCATATTTATAATGGAATTATTGACAACCCTTTTTTCATAAGGAGTTCCTCCCGCTTTGAGACCAATATAAATATAGTTGGACAGATTTAGCATGCAGGAAAACAAAAATCAGTGAAGATTTTGATACGCAGAATAATACAGAAACGACAACGTATTTTTGGCTCTGCACAAAAACACGCCTTCATCTGTAAATGATTACACTTCTATCTGTGGTGGAATGGTGGTGTGGGGCATATGAATCTCACCTTCAAAAGATATTCTTACGTTCTACGAAAAAGCGCCGGCAAGCACAGGAAACTTCAATCAATGTCTTATATTGGAAAACTATGACACTGTCAAACCGGTGTCATTAAAGCTAACTAACCATATTAAACGAATATTAAAATATAGGTTTCTTTGCATAACATAATGAGTAAAACTGCTTTTAAGTTTTTCCCTATGCTTTGAGGTGTAGGTGGCATTTTCATTCCAAAACTTTGAAGTCAGAACAAAATGTACAGGTAGAGGGTACTAGATCAAATAATAATCAACTTCAAAAAGCATTTTGGCTGTTAGATGTCCCAAGGCTAATTTCCTCTAGACATTTTAAATGTAAATGTCTAAACTCATTTAAAAATTGTAAATTGGTCTAGGTTCAATCAAAAACCATCCTGACACAGAACAGGGAGACTGGGCTAATTGTCATTTGTTTGTCAAATGAATTCCATTTGGAAAGCAATGAAACCTCCAAGCTAATTCTTTTAAGGTGAGCTGGTAGTTGTATTATCAGTTAAATGCAGTAAAATGGATAATCACATGATGATAATGAAAACTGAACCTATGTTAGCACTCAGGCTTAGTCTGCCACAGGGCATATAGTGATGGAACTTAAGTACTGTAATGTTCCATTGGGCACAATGGCACCAAGTCTGCTCTTTAGCCTTACAGACACTTTCTTTGCATTTTAAAAAACTTTATCAAAGCACCGTGGCAATGTAGAAAATGTCAAAGTGAAATGCACTGTAGGCAAATTGAGATTTCATTAAGTTTAAATTTATTGCTTTTGACTGATGTATTACCATGCTTGTTAAGAACCAGTAATTTGGAATATCTGCCTGCCTGGTAAAATAGCTTTGTCTCCTTGCGTAATACTTTATATGGACTTTGAAAGACCACAGTAATTCAAAAAGAGAGTAAGTTATTTTATTTTTCTAAAGAACAATTTCAAATATTTTAAGGTTCCTGACCTAGTGGATCGATAGACTCATGTGTGTGTCCCAAGTGTGTTGTTGGTGCACATGGTAGAAAATTACAGCACTGTTATTTTTTTGCCTTGATATAGCATTGCATTCACTGACAACAGAACCTCGGGAAGCACTTAACAATTCTACTTGTTCTGTCACTTCCTGATATATTGGAATTAAAATGTTTTGAGAGATAAGGTATCCAACAAACTGGTGGGAGACTGTGTGCAGATGGGTAATTTTTTTACGTAAATATATATACAGAGACATAAACTGTGCACCTACATGAGATTGTGCACAGGTTTGTTAAGAGCCAAAGCAGAGATACAGATGTATCTGCACAGGTATTCTTTGCATTGCATGCTATAGGTGTTGTTTAGTTTGCCTCAGCTATGGAAAAAGCTACATTTGAGATGCTGACATAAAATCTCTTAGTGCACTCTGGTATGTTCTCAGGAAAGGATTGAATCAATAGTGTAGGACCAGCAGAATTCCTAACTGATGAGGACGGTTAGGCCTTTGGGAACAGCTTACTGCCCTTGGAGAGAGACCTGGATTGAATTTAGTATATTCCAGATATATTTATTTACACTATTTGCCAGGGTTTTATGGCAGAAGTGACAAAGTTTGTGAAACCCAGGAATGTGTTATCATGTTATCTGGTGTCTTAGATGGACAGTCAATATGAACAGACTGTAGACACACCTGTCCCAGTATCCAGTTCACCAAGTAATGAAATGGAAACAATAAAAGTCTTTGAACAAACAACAGACATTTGAGTCTTCAGGTTTAAACAAGAGGATTGTAGAACTCAAATGGGTTTCCTCCAGTGCTGCCAAGGCAGCCATATCTGTACTGGTGCCAGCTGAGGGTCACACAACAAAGCTTGACTTGTGTCTGCCCATGTGCTTTCATCCCACAGAGGGTGGGTATATGTACTTCTTGGGTAGGGGATGAGGGAAAGAAAAGAGTTTTAAATTATACTTATTTTATCTACACTTTCAATGAAACTTCCAGTTGAAACCTGAGGAGAGAGAGACGTGTAGATTTCTATGAATTGAAACTGCATTTTGGTTTTTTACCATTTAAAAATAACATTCTGAAGATTAGGGCAGGTCGTGTGAATTAATTGAATTAAGACACAATCATTTGTGTCTTCACTGGAAAAAAACTTATTTCTCTCCTCATGTGGAAACAACTTGCACCCCTTCCCCACAGGTTCTCCCAAACCTTCCCTGCCTGTGACTGCAGAGTTACCAAAGCAGGACTTGGCTGCACCTGCACACCCACAACCCAAATTCACCTCGGGGAGATTTTCAGCAGGGGCACTCACTCCTCTTTGCAGTGGAACCTCCAAAAGCTTCCCTTGAACTCCTCCAGGGGACAGTTTGACAAGGGGTCTTCTGTCCCAGAGGTGTCCAGGTTGACCAAGGAGCTTCCCAACCCAGAAGAGGCCCATGTTCACTACAAAGTCCTGAGAGAAAAGGAATCCCACCAAAGGTGGACACAAATCTCAAACCCCACTTAAAAATAAAGGCTTTCTAGTTTTGTTTTTGCACGTTGTACAAAGGTTACATCAACTCTCAGTAAGAAGGGTGCAAAGTAGGAGCTAAGGTAAAGCTTTTTATTTGATAAAACATCTGTATTTTTGCTTTAAGACACATATGTGCAGCTCTCTTTGAAGTCCAGAAGAGCTATGCAAGGATATACTTGAGGGCAGAATTTGGCCCAATGTGATAACACAGGAGCCTGCAATCTGAAAAAGGAGTGTATTTATTACATTTTAAACATTTTGTGGGTTAATTCACATTAGCCAGGAAGAACTAATGCCTCTGAATAATTCTCCTTCTCAACACACACTTCATAACACTGTAAGAATTACAACTAAACTCCACCTTCCTGCTTTCTTCTAAGGCATTGGACAAAATCTGCATTTTGGAGTAAGCCACTAGCTGGAGCTAAAGACCTGTAGAGCAAATTCAAAGGAAAAAAGAAAAAAAAAAAAAAGAAAAGAAGGAAGAAATCCACAAACCTGAAGAGAAATCCAAACTTTTTAAGGTAGGCCTCTAACAGGTTTCTGATTGAGTTGTGGATACTGTCTGTCATTTGTTAGAAAGATAGAATGACCAGCCTAAAAAAATGAAAACATCCATATGCTTGAGTTGATGTCTAGCTGAACTAAACTGGAGCAAAGTCTGGTATTTAACAGCAGAATGAATCAAAACAAGCATATTGAAAAGAGCTTTATAAAAGCACCCAAAGGAGCAGTAAAGCAATGAAAGAAACGAAAATCTGAGATACTAAAGAAGTAATCAAAGGTAGAAATTAATTGTTAGTTAGTGTTTGGAATTGAGAAGGAATCGCCTAGGAATACAGAAAGCAGCTAACAAACCCTGTGACCCATTTGCTTTCAATTATTGATATTGCAAAGGCTCTTCAATATGTAATTGTTTAAACATCACCCCGAAAGATGCTTTCATGAGAGCAGAAGAAAAGGTCTCCTTTTGTAGATAGAGATCAATTTATCTTTGGCAATCAGATACTATATATCAGGTGGGAACTGAGCACTCCCTGGATTTGAAGGGTCAAAGTGAAGCAGAGAAACACAAAGAATATTCTGCACATTCTGTTGGTTCAGTGACACACACGCAGGGTTTGATCTTCCCATGTAGTGTGTGGCACTGAGATGACTTCAGTGGACATGAGCATTGCTCTGAATCATACAGCTGCCAGCAAAATGTGTTTCAATCTCTCAAGACTTTTCAAAACATCACCAAATAAATGCCTAATATGCCAAATGGGATTAAAAGGGCCAGCTTTCCCTGCAGCTTTCCACAGAGGAAAACCAGCAGTAAAATGCCACTGGGGAGACAGTAAACATGTATTAAGTGTCTGTTTGTGCCTTCTGTACACTCAGCTGCAGCATCTGAGGCAGGCAGGGCCTCACACCTGGGGTGAGGATGTATATGGATAAGTTGAATGTTCCCACAAGGGTTACACATGTCACGCTCATCTCATGCTGCCCTTGCCATGATTCAACAAAACACTCAAATATGAATGCAGATTTAAACACTTGCTTAAGAGCTCTCCTGCAGCTGGCTGATAACCACTTGTTAGTCTCAAGCCAGGTATTGAATATATGGCTTAGTTAGTATATGGAGGCATTTGTTTCCACAGTAAATTTAGCTTTCAGAGGGTCACATATGTACCACAGAAATGGCTGTGTTCATTTTGGCATCATGATAATTTTCCTAATTGAAATAAGTCCTGTTCTTTGAGCAACTGGTAGTTACTGGATTCCTAGAGCCAGTTTGCACAGGCAGCACCCACAGCAGCAGCAAAGGCAGCTCCCAGCTCTCAGTGAGACCTCCTGCTCTCTGAGCAGTGCTGGCACCTTGCTCTGGAGCAGCCATGTCTGACTGGCTGTTGCCATCCCTCTGCTTTAGGGGATCGGTTTTGTTGCTGTCCCACTGTAGAACCAACTTCAATAGTCTTCTGTGTGCATGTTCCAGCTTTCCTGGGGGTATATTTTATATGACATGCTCTTAAGATTATGCTGTTCTGAAATTCTTAGAAGTAGATTTTTTCTTTCACCCTTTTCTCCAAGGATAAAAAAAAAATTCCCAAAGTTGTAAAAGCACACTTTAAAATTAATGGTGGGTTTTACACACACAAATATACCATATCTATTAATTTCATACACAACATACATGATACCTAATTATATTGAATGTGACATATTCTTTAATAATTTTATAATGCAAATTTTTTTAATCTACACTCTCTCTTGATTCATAGGACTACCTTCATTAAACACAGATAGGTACTATAACTTGAACTGGACTTTTCGTTTCACTCTTTAAACTTAAACAGAGCTGCTTTCACATGTGAACATGAGACTTTCTTTCCTGACTCAGGATAGGGGTTTTTTTTAAAAGCAATTTCCACTCAACTGCTTTCCCAAACCAACAACCTGCAGATGTAGTAAACAGTTGCATTTTCTCAACAATACCACAATTCTGACCATTTATGCTTTTCTTTGAATTGAAAAAAATAAACTTTGAATCAACACCACCTGCAGAACTCTTTCCAGCACTATGCTGAGTGTATTTATGTGCTGCTCCATAGGATTCAGAGAGAAATCACATTGTTTTAGTGCCCTCGGCACCACTGCAAATGAAACTTGTATATTGCTATACTTAATGATTCAGAAAAGTCTCATTCTGGGTCACTTTGTGGTATCTGTCATTAACTTCTGAAAATCGAGACAAAGAAATACATAAGAAACACAAAGAACTCCGTGTGTACTTATGTATGTTCTACTTGGATGAGTGTTTGAAAAATTCAGTCAGAAAAAGTGCAATATTCCTGAACTGGTGACTGCCTTTATTCTCTTGCACACACTAAAACAGTCCCACATGGGCTGAACACAGGAATACCTTTTTACCTGGGTAGATAGGGGTGGGACGAGGGGGAATGGTTTTAAACTAAAAGAGAGATTTAGATTAGATATTAGGAAGAAATTCTCTACTCAGAGGGTAGTGAGGCACTCAAATAGGTTGCCCAGAGATGTTGTGGATGCTCCTTCCCTAGAAGTGTTCAAGACCAGGTGGGATGGGGCTCTGAGCAACCTGGTCTAGTGAGTGGCATCCCAGCCCATGGCACAGGGCTTGGAACCAGATGTTCCTTAAGATTCCTTCCAACACAAACCATTCTGTGATTCTCTGAATTTAGAATGCAGCAGGGGCAGACTCAGCCTTACTTGAGGCCAAAAGCTTCTCCAGGTTTCAAAAGCTGAGGTGCAAGCTGGGAAATTTCCAGAGCAGGTAAACCAAGGGGAAGGAGCCTTGGCTGCAAGACCAAGGAACGAGCCCAGGGACTCCATTTCCCTGTGCCACCACGTGCACCCTTACGGGAATTCAGGGTCCATGGGCAGTTGTGGTGCACCTGACCCCAACTGTCTGGTACACTATCACATATCATTGCCTAGAAAGGAGGGGCACAATTCTTTTATGCCCTCCCCACGTGAATCTCATCAAACCAACACCACAGTCTTGTGACTTTTTGGAGCACGGGTAGGAGATGACCCAGGAAAAGAGAGTTGTGCTGCACAGAAAAAGGAAAAGCAGGTCAGGAGCAAAGCCGTGAGCCCGATGTTTGTTTTGGAGTGAAGCAGCAGAGGATTGAAAGGCAGCAGGCACAGGGTGTAAAGGAACACTGAGGGCTGGCTGGGCAGGGAGTGCCTCTCAGTAACTCGGTACCGCGTGTATCCCTAAGAAATCGCACCTCTCACACAAAGACACTGAGTCATTTACATACCCTCATCAGCAGTGCGAAATGGCTCCTTGTGGAGTCAGACATTTGGAAACAGATAAAGCCCTAAAGAATGCTTCTTTTCTCCCTAAGAGATTAATGGAGATGTGAACACATTAGCGCTGTTTAAGGGAGAGCATTCTCTTTGACAGATAACTGGGATTGGGAATATTAGATTACCAAATAATGGACCTTTTAAATTCTGTCATCATTACTTATCAGGTACATTAGTTTAAAACCTGCAATTTTGAACTTAGCATTATTGAGCTTTTGAAAGATTAAATTACTGCGCTTTTGTTTGTGAATGGCTCTGTGAAATTTCCTGAAAAGGATAGTCCTCGTCCTTCATTGTGTAAATGTGAATGCCAAATAACATACTTTATTGATATTTACAGACATACAAATGATAGGACTAATGCACCTTAATGTCTGTCTCCCCGAGTGAAAAGGCAGAGCACTGTTAGATAATATGGTTCACTGTTCTCTTTTGTAAACCCATTTGGAAGAGTTAGTTTTTATCCCTCCCTTCTCTTCCTGAAAACCTTATTCGCACAAGTAGCTTCTCAGAGGCAGGTTTGCAGTACAGGCCTCCTTCTAAGGGTCACTTTTTTTTACTCATTAGGTAGATCAAAAAATCTATAACTCAAGTTACAGAGGTAGCTTGCACATATCAGTTGGCAAGAGAGCCACGTCCAATACATTAAAAAAATAGATATTTATAAGCACATCCACAACTGCATTAGATAGGGAGGATAAAGTGCCACATTCATTGGGTGATCAGCCCCAGTCAAAGGTTTAGGAACAAAACACCTGCTTTGCTGTTAAATCCCTCTGCTGCCTGCTAAGCATTTTTCTCAATATGTTCAGGAGCAGGGTGATCCTGCAAGATCTGCTCCAACAGCCATCCCGAGGTACTTGACTGTGATGACACAGGTACCATCTGTGTCCTGGACTGTGATGACACAGGTACCATCTGTGTCCTGGACGTGGCAACCTGTGACCTTCCTCTTCCTCACACCGAACTGTGAGATTGAGTCTTCAAGGCAGGATTTTCAAAGCTGAATAAGGAAATTAATCTCACAAATCCCTTAGACATATAATGCAAATTGGGTGTTTTCCTTATACCAACACCTTTGAAAACTCCCACTGAGTTTCTCAAAGTTGTTTGGTGAGAGAAAGACTTTCTATTTTTCAAACTTTTCCAACTTTTTAAGAAGTCAATAGAGGAGTGAGCCAACAAATATGAAGAGTGATAAGAGTGACAGCCATGAAATGCAAAAGGAATGTTTGTGAGAATATATGTTTCTTTAATGAGGTAGGAGGTAGGTTCAAATTATGCTCATAAAACAAAATCAGAGAAAAAGAAAAGATGTACTGTAAATATCCCTGACTCTGCATTAGACCCGAAATGTAGGTACTGCCTGTGCCTAAACAACTCAAAACACTTGGAAACAGTTTAAAATATATTTTGTTTTGCTTGTTCAGCTTTTATGGGGTTTTTCTGTGGTTTTTTTTTTTTTAAGTTACCATGTTTTTTCATGCCTCTGAGATAAAACCTGTTATATTTGCGAGCCAGACTTCAAATAGATGAGTGTTCTGTATATGTTAAAAGAAAGAAAATTATTTCAAAACCAAAGTCTCTTCTTCTGAATGATGCTTTCTTCCTTTTTTCCCCCACAAATGAAATATACTTTCAATTCAGATGCAAAGAGCTGGACATCTATTCAACACATCAATTCAGTTAACAGTGAGAAGCATGATCTAGCTACAATATTCATGAATTGCTTATCAGGTCAAGTTTAAAAGCCTCCAAACTCTTGTATGTTCTTAGCTGTCTTTGTTATACTTGGATACTTGTAAGACTTGCAAAATATCACACAATCATCAAAAAAAGCAACGGAGCTACTCACCAAAAATGAGTTTCATTCTCTCCTCAAAATGGTATTACTCTTGTTAGCACTCATTGAGAGGGGAAAAGATCAAGATAATATACTTGTACTTATTTTTAATTTAGAGCAATTGTGTTGAATAACACCTAAATTGCTCAAGGTACAATTTGTGTCACATAACAAAGACGGTATTTTCTATAGATTTAAACTGCTTTAGCTGTTTCTTTGACTCCTAAACCACTGACTGTACATCACTCTGTACCGGTGAATTTTAAAATGTACCATCCACCTTCTAGTGGAAGATGTCCCTGCCTATGACAGGGGGTTGGAACTAGATGCTCTTTAAAATCTCCTCCAACCAAAACCATTCTATGGAAAGATAGTAAGCATGTGCAAACAAAGGAAAAAATAATCAAGCCAAAATGAGTATACTGATTCATCAGCCCAAAATGAACAAAGCTGTGGATAAGAAGAACACTTCAATATGAGGTTGGAGACGTGAGAGCATCATCTTTCTGTGTGACATGAGGGTTATGGGTGCTTTACCATTTTTGTACAACATGAAACAAGTCAATATGGCTCATTCCAGCCAAGGCTAATATCTGCTTTTGTATTTGGGGAGTAATGTGACTTGGAGACCCACAAATACTTTTTCTTGCCTGCACAAGCTCTTTTTATCACGCTAAAAGCTCATTACCATTTCAGTTTTTAAATCATGATTCTCATTAATTGCTACTGAAAAAAAGGCTCCAGGTTTGAGCTGTGTGTGGTGCCAGAGAGCTCACATGAGCATCCAAACTTTTTCCCAAAGTGTATGGGAAAGTACTCAATGGCTCACCAGATGAATACACTGGACTATCCAGAACCCCAAGGCAAGGGTGGTAAAACTGCTTCCTCCCTGAGGATCTTTTCACCTTCCTTTAAAGACATAGAAATGGATCCTAAGACCCATGGCAAGATTGTAAGATTTTGAGGGATATGGTTCAGGGGTGATTATGATGGTGGTACATACAGTTGGACTACATGATCTTGAAAGTCTCCTTCACCTTGGATGATTCTGTGATCAATTAGTTGAAACCAGTTTTCTCTGGTGTTCTCCTAAGAGGGGTAAGGTCTTGGTCCCACTGGTGGCAAATGTCTTCAGCTCACGAGCAGTAAACTGTTGAAAATGAAACCTTTTCTCTTGAAGATGAACATGAAAATATACAAACTCCTTGACACAATCTCATCTGAATGCACAGAAACCTGTTTAAAGAGCATGTGCTGCTTCTTCCATCCCAAACAGTTTTCAGGCATTTCAAGCCGTACCCTGTGGACATGTACCATGCCACAAACACCCACTGCCCTTCAGACAGGGTAAAAGGCAAGAGCATCTCCTACCCACTGGAATTTCACAATTCTCCAGTGAAAACAATGGGAAAGTAAGGAAAGCCAGCTTTTCCCTGCTGCCCCTCCTTCCACATCCTCCCTTCTGCTCCTCTAAACTTTAAATACAGAACCAATGCAATGAAGTTTTTAAGCCGAGCTCAGCTGCACACTGGCCTTGCTATGCCCAGCAGCAAAAGCCTTTGGCTGCAGGCAGAACGTGTTCTGTGGCATGCTGGGCACCTCACATGAACAACACTGCTGCTGGAGTGATGTGTGAGGCACTAGCAATGTTATTTATGCCTATTAACAGAGAGTCTTTCAGATAATGACTGACAAATGTGCTTTAGTTTAGGACACAGAACAGAAAGATTACATACTAATAGCAACAGCCAGGAAAGAAACATGATAGGCAGGGACAAAGAAGAGCAAACAAGGGAGACAGAATCTGAAAATGGCAAAGATGCAAGCAAATATTTGTGCAGGCTAGCTAATGTCAACCTACCCTGCAGTGCCTGGGCCGTGTGGCCCTTAAGAAGGACCCTGAGCTCCATCCTGTCTGTCTCTCAAGGGGAGAAGGCTTATCCAGCTAGAAAATACCCCAGCACTTTGGGGAAGAGGAGATATTTCTCAGACGTGGTTTAGAGTGGAGTTCTCAAAGAGATACTTGAGACACTTGAGATTGTTAAGCACAAAAAGTTAAAAAAAGCTGGTAGAGTGCTGGGCCTGACAGAAGACTTTGTGGTGAATTTTGAGGGACCAGCAATGCTGATACACATTCTCTGAGGTGTTTGTATTTTGTTAGGTGTAGAACTAAAGTCCAGAACTAAACAGAAATAATCCACTTGGAAAAATAAAGTTTAAGTAAGTTCAGGCCTCAAATGCATGTATTTAAAGCTCAGGTAAATGTGGAGGCAAAATAGAGCAAACGTTATTGGAAGACAAGATGCAAATTAGAGAGTCTAATCTCTCTGCAGTGATCAGCACACTCACTTTATCTGGTTTCCATCTGTCATCTGAGCTGCAAGTTTACAGGCAATGTACTGTCTGTCCTAAAATCTACATCTCCGATAAGGCATTGGGTTTTCTGTCTGGAGAGTCTCCTCCATGGAGATAACCAGTCTTTTTATTTGGGGAAAAAGGTAAGGGAAGTCACAAACATGCTGGAAAACAGAAAGCTTTTCCGTCTATTTTCACTTTCAAAAAACCATCACATTTGCAAAGTTTTCTCCTGGAATGGGAATAAAATTTCCAAGTTCAGAAAATCTGTTTAGACTAAACAGAAAGTTTTTTTTCAGGTGATGGTGAAGGGTACTATGAATGGAGCTAAACGGAACTAAAAAGATCGTTAGATCAACAGGCTTTTCCAAATAGTTTTCCTCTGAGTAATTTTCCTAATAGCTCACAAAACTCACTGTTAAAGAGTTGACTGTATTATTAAATAAAAATCTTAAGAGCATAGATGAGGGTGCTGTGCTGGACAGAAGTCTCTGGGGTGAGTGTTGAGGAAGCAGAAATGTTGACATTTCTCAGTACTGTTCTAGAGTGAATTTAAAAGGCTTTTTCTCCTTTTACACCAGGTCTAATTTCAACACAAAAATTGTTCTATGCTTGCAAGAGAGCACCAGGAGTAGCAAATCTGAAACCAGTCTGTAAATGACATGAGACACCAAGACATGAATTCCTGCTGCCTACACTCTGGATAACAGGGTTTCTACCCAGCTGCACCTGCTGGGTCACCCCACAGGCTGGGGAAAGGCAGAAGTGTTTTGAATCAAACCTATATCACCCCTAAACTGTGCATGGAATCCATGTGGCTTTCTG